TTACAGCAATCAAGCCTTCACTAGCAATGCAAAACACATGATCAAGAATTAATCCAATTATTAAGTGGTTAACAAAGCTATTAGCAAGGGAATAGATCAATTATGTGTTACACCTCAAATCATCCATCACAAATTGAGATGCAGCAAGCACCACTAAAACAAACCACAAACCTACAAGAGAGCGTAAATGCAATTGCATGCTAAGACAAGTAACTTATTCACCAAAAATGACATATGAGTCATTCAAGCAAAAGCAAAAAATTTTAAAATTTTAAAAATATCCCCAAATTAATGACTCCTCCCCCACACTTAAAAATTTGCATCATCCCTGATGCAAAATAAAAGAAAAGAAAAACAGGAGAAAAGAGAAAACCAAAAAGCAATAAAATAATCATGAACTAGAAAGCAATAAAACTAAATAAGACGAAACTAGAAAGCAATAAATAAATATGGAAAGTAATAAAAGATAACATGGGGTGCCTCCCATGATGCGCTAAGTTTAACGTCGTTAGCTCGACGTTACCTCTCTAGCCATCAAGTGATTGGAGAAGAAAAATCCCCTTCTTTCCATCAACTTTCTCTTCCAAGTATTTCTTCAAGTGATGTCCATTTATAAACTCTCTTAAGCTCGAACCCTTCATTTCATCGTGTAAGGAACCCCATTCGCCCGAATCAAGAATTATGCCTCCATTCTCTTTTCCTTCTTTTTCAACACTCTCTTGCTCAACAAGTAATGAGAGTCTCGGATCATCCACATGAACCAGTAAGTATTGGGAATCAATGGATATATAGATAGGCAAATGTGTGCCATCATCCTTAAGAACTCCTATGCCTCCCAAATTCAAAATTTCTCTAAAGTTCTCTCCAAGGGAAGTGTTCTCCATTGGTGAGACATCCTCATTCAAATCATGTGCTCCATTAAGAACTTCCTCATCTAATGGGCAACTCTCTATATGTTCCTTGCTACCATTACCTTGCAACTCTACATTCTCCTCCCAACTTGGTGTCTCCATCTCAATGCATTCATCAAATATTTCTTCATCTTTCTTTCTAAGATCCTCATCATCCTTTTTATTTCTCTCAACCTCATGACCTTCATTTGACAAGAGCAACTCTTCTAGAACCTCTCCATTAAATGAATCTTGAAGTGGCTCTTCAATTGTCAAATCTTGCCATAGAGCCAACGTGTGATCAAGTTGAGCTATCATGCGATCCATTCCAGCTTGTTGCTCCATATATTTCGAGCACAATTGCATTAACTTAGTCTCTATGGACTTCACCTCAATTGTTTGATCAAGTGGTTGGCAATCTTGTTGAAACTCTTGGTATAGAGACTCTTGAGCTCGCCCTCGATACTTGTAATTGGGATCCGTGATGAAGCAATTTTCTGCCTCATGAGGTCCACCACATATCATGCACTATGAGGGTTGCGGAGTAGGTGGTATGCATCTTTGATAAGTGGCTTGACTCATGTTGGCACAAAATCCTTGAGTAGGTTGTTGAGGGATATGGTTGGTGGGGATGAACATGTAACAATTTTCCACAAAGTGATTCCCACCACAAAATGAGCGCCATTGGGGTTGTAATGTTTGATATGAACTTTCTTGAAAATATTCTTGACTTGAGTTGGTGAAATTTGAGAAAGAGAATTGTTGTTCCATTCCTCCATATTCTCGATTCATATTCCAACTCATCTCATAACCTTGAGAAGGAGGGTAAAACGGTGGCATGGTTCCTTGGAATTCATATCTATCCATAAACTAAATCACACTCAAAACAAGGAACTTGTTATGGGTTAGAAAAATAAAATAAAATAAAATAAAAAATAAAAATGGACTAGTCTCCTAGAATAAAGATTTCACTAATGTTAATACTAGAAACGCCACTTTCCCGGCAACGGCGCCAATTTGATACGTAGTATATTTGCAAACAAATAATTCTCGGAGTACGAGTTACCGATCCACAGGGAAGTGGTTGTATCAAGCACTAGCAGTGTTGCAAAAATTGCGACTAGGCGCCGATTAATCGGCGCCTAGGCGCTAGGTGATTGCCCACCTAGGCGCTCTAGGCGGCCTAGGCGGTCCCAAGGCGCCTAGCGATTTTTGCAACCTTGAGCACTAGTTACTAGCTTATTCATTAGAGCTAATCCTAACAATTACTTAGATGATTGATTGGCATAAAATAAATAAAAGAGGTTCAGGATTTTGAAAACAATAAGAGAGAAGATGAGATTCATGGGATTCAAGTATTTAATCACCTAGTGCCAATTAACGTTTGTAATATTTAGTTTGGAATTAAGACTTGTATGGGAATGCAAAGTGGAACAGAATTACTCCCATAATTTCTACCCCTAGTGAATTTCCACTCCCGTGGCTTAAACACTTGATAAGATCGAAGATCAGCATTCAATTATTCCCAATTATTACCATCTCCCGATGCGCAACAATCTAGAATAAGATTCCCCCAATAAATTCCCCTTTCCCAAGGTCCAACCACTAGGTGCAATCGTGTGTGCCCTAATTTATGCCCCAACTCCCATTGGTGACACAAACAAAGCAAACGAAACAAGTAACTATGGCCAATAATTACAAGCATCAAACAATATTATCACGATTGCAACACAAGTATTAAACCCAAATAATAATATATTAAAGAAACTGAGAACTCAGGCACATAGGTTCATAAACACTTTTACCCAAGAATCTCTAAAGAATTTAGCCAAGCATGGCTAAATTATACATAGCAAATATAAATAAAGAATTACAAATCATCAAAAGAGTACAAGAATTAACCAGACGATTTTCCCAAATCTCCCTAGTCTTCTTCTTGCTTTCCAAGACAACTTGTGGCTCTTGATTTCTCTTCTTATTGTCTCCAAGAATCTCTGAATTCTAAACTATGAATTTTAAATTATCTATTCTAATTATTTACTCTAAACTACCATTCTTTTTTTAGGGTTGAGGAAGGTGGGATTTTATAGTAGGTACAGAGCTAGGCGGAATTGGAATTGGAATTTTCCTAATTTAATTTAGGAATTTTAGCTTTGGAATGATTAGGCAATTACGGTACCCATCTTGCTTTGGAATATTGCCATTTTAAATTAGGAAGTTTCTAAAACTCGCGCCCAGTGCAATAGGTACGTTTTGCACGCTTATTTTGACCCTTTTCTCTTATTATCTAGACTTTGGTGTCTTCATAAGAGTTGTAGTCCTTCAAGTCTTCTTTCCAATGGCGCAAGAATCACCTCAATCGGACATTCCTAGCATGAGATATGTTCAAAATACTAAACTATCATCAATCTGTGCGAGATGAAATGTTACTGGAAATGTTCGACGTGTTGAGTTTTCTGCTGAGTCATAGATTATAGCCCTTCGAGTCTTCTTTCTAATGGCGCAAGAATCACCTGAATCGGACATTCCTAGCATGAGATATGATCAAAATACTAAGTTGTCGCCGAATTCAACGGGAATTACAACTCTTCGGTCTTTTGATCCACTTTTCCCTTGTTTGATTCTTGTGATCAAATCCATTGAAAGTACCACTCTTTGGCTCTCTTTGAAGCATTTTAGCCACCTCCTTAGCTTCACCTTGACTTTGTTTTGGCTCCAAACTCGTCCTAGAACTTCCCTTGCTTTTAACTTTGACCAGAAATGGTTCAAAAACACTAACAACATCGTAAAACATTCAAAACAATTGTGAACCATAATTAAATGATAATAGCAAGGAAAACATGTATTAAATATGTAAAATTAAAGAACTTAATTACTGAGATGATTCAAAATGACTATTAAAACAAGCAGAGATGTGATAACATCACCTACCGAAGAAGAATCCACACAAGTGGAAAAAACCATATTAGCTTGAGGTCCAGGATTTGCAGAATACCTACGGTGACACGAAACAGTAGTATAGCCTTGACAATCGCAAATCTAACACCGCGAAGAATAAGACTAAGAACTATGACCGCGAACACCTCGCTGTCAACGACCACAGCCTCCATGCAAAGAGTGAGAAAACCCACTATGATCGGACTTACCTCAGCGCTGAACAGCCATAGCCATGGGAACAGTTGAGACACCTCTAATGCCAGCAACATAATCATCACCACAAATGAATTCATTCGCCACCTGGAAATCAGATAACTCTGCCAACATGATTGGATGGTACCGTCGACGTAACCCAATAAATTTTGTCCTCGTAAAAAGGGTACTAACCGAGTTCTCCAAAATAAATAGTTATAGGCAGTGAGTTTGATTGAAATAAAGTGATGAGCTATAGACAACGAGTTATTAGAAACCACAGGCACCGGAACAACAACATCAGAAATAGTCCGCTTGGAAGAAACTCCGGCAAAATTATCATTATCACCGGCCATAAAAAAACCAAGTGACTGATATGGTGATACCAGATGAGAACAAGATTATGAAATATGATTGATAATAGGAACGTATACAATTTATATACATGACTAGAGCCCTATTATGAATACACAAGACTAGAGTCCAATATCAAACATAATACACAACAGTAGTAGATTCCTAATAGTTGAAACCCCAAAGTAAGAACCAAAAACTAATTAGAGTCGCAAGGTAGTACGTGCATAGTGAATTCATGTAGGGTGAATGACTGAAATGTGCTATTATCCCCCATTTTTTCCCAAAATGTGTGCTGACTTTTTTTTGACAAGAATGTGTAAAACTAAGTTGGGACTTGCGTTTTTGCATGTGTCCCGGCAATTTTTTTTTTTTCGTATTAGTGTAAAACGCAAGAAGGACTTGCGTTTTCTATATTGAATACGTAAAACGCATTTGGGAAATGCGTTTTACGTATACGTATCACATACTCTAAAACGCATTTGGGAGATGCGTAAAATATATAATACTTTTAACACATCTCCCAAATGCGGTTTTTTACCGGCGGGGGCGCTCCCGAAGCCCGTATTATACACGGTGGTGAAGTCGTCGTCTCCCTGAAGCCCGTATCGTTTTTCCCTATACCGTTTAGTGCGTTTTGCGTTTGCTTTCCACTTCCTCCTCCACTACTTTCGCCAATGCCGTTGTCGTCTCCCTAAAGCCCTCGACGGCCATCACCGCCGCTCTCTGGATATCCTTAGCGTCCTTGGACACCGGCACCAGCACCGACAGGCACCACACGGAATCAGCGAAGTTTAGCGTTGCAAACTCACCTCTCAGCGCCAATGCTGCCACGTCGTGAGCTCGCGCCGCCATTTCCGGAGTAGGGTAACTTCCCACCCATATCCTCTTCTGCTTGATCGGCTCCCGAAGCTCACAAACCCATTTCCCGTTGCCCCTCCGCCGCACTCCCCTGTACACCGGGTGCCGAGTCTCCTTGATGAACTTCTTCCTCCCCGCCGGCCTCTTGGGTTTCCTCGCCAAAACAACCTCGTCTAAATGTGCAGCCATGCAGTTGGAAGAAGAACATGATCCTCCGGATACTGAAGAGGTCACCGGCAGCAGTTGACCACTTTCCTTGAAACTAAATCCACGACGACGACGGCCGTTCTGATCGGACAAATATGCTTGTAACACCCCGTGTTACGGCCTTTAATCCCGAATTAATTATTTAATTAATTTCATTAATAATAATAAAAAGAATTTAATTTGATTAGAAATCTCTTTAATTAATTAATGTGGTCCACCGCGGATCATGGACCCTTGCCTAAACTAGAGTCATAAGCCTATTAGAAATAATGAAAGTCAACATTTTACTAATCAGATCCTAATTAGGAATCCTAGGCCTAAACATCTATTAGGAATAAAGAAAGTATACCTTTACTATTCAGATTATGGTTAGGATTCTCTTTAATTAATTAATATGGTCCACCATGGACCATGGACCCTTATCCCTAAAACAAGTCCTTAGTCCTATAAGGAATAGAATTAGTAAACTCATACCATTCAGGCCCTAATTAGGACTTCTAAATAAATATATAAGGACATAGGAGGCACCTAGAAGTCACACCACAATAGATATCACCACACAAGAATTCCCAAGGGTCTCCCCACCACCAAGCCTAGGGAGATCAAAACGGATGGAAATCTTAGGGAAGAACCTTAATAGCCAAGGAATGATTAATTAAGGCTAAGAGGTAACCCATGTATTAACAAAACCTATTTTCTTTGCTATAATCTCCTTCTTTGGCTTCTCCTCTATACTCGTGTCTTGATAAATCGTTTGTGATATTGATGATATGATCTTGATGATTGATGAGATGAATTTATGTGTGATCTTGATGATGATAGGAAGTTCTTGATGATTATGTGATGTTCTTGATAAATCTTGATGTTTCTTGTTGTTAAAAGATGAACTATGATCTTGATTATTTAAATATGATTAGAGCCTTAGGATGAATCGTGAAATTCATATTGTGATATTCTTGATATATTTGGGTGGGAATTCACATGTTCGGGTGTTAATTATGCTTAGAAATCACGATAGGATATGTGATATTTGATTCTTGCTTTTGATCCGTTAATTGTCTACGTGGTGTCATCGATTGCGTTTAAAAGTGTCTAAGCATGGTTTCGGGTTCCACAAAGGATCCCGGGACGTTTATTGTGATAATGAGTCAGTGGGGGGTAGGTGGGGGTAGGGGAAACCCGCCACCTACCCGCTGCCCCATTCAGGCGTCGCCGGCAGCGGGCAGCCGGCGGGCAAGCGATTGCCCGCCGGGCACCCGCTGCCCAGTTTCTCGCCGCCAGCGGGCAGCCGGCGGGTGGTCCTCCACCCGCTGGTTTTCCCACATCGGGATGGTGGTTTCTTCCGTTTGATGTTTCCCCGATCCACGTGGTGTCCCAACGGACTCCGTTTATCGTGCCTAAGTCTAGTTTGATGTTTCGGGTACCGTTCATAGGATAAATGAGTCTTATATATATCGCATGCTAGTTGAATTAGTATCCCGTTGGCCTAGGTAAAGGAAGTATGAACCCCTTAGGATTATTCCTAGTATGTGGATGACCACGCATAGGTTTCATTATACGTTTTCTCCCCTTTCCCAATGTGTTAATGTGGGTTGCATGTGCTTGCTATGTGTTATGTGTGCATGATACCCCAATTTGGTTGCGATCAAATTGGTTATTCCTGAACTGCGGTCAGAATTACACTCTTGGGCTGCGGTCCACCGTTTGGTTGCGATCAAACGTTTTACATGAGCTGCGGTTCATATTCCTGGCTGCGGTCAGATGATCACTTTTGGGCTGCGGTCCACCGTTTGGTTGCGATCAAACGTTTTACATGAGCTGCGGTTCATATTCCTGGCTGCGGTCAGATGATTACTCTTGGGCTGCGGTCCACAGTTTGGTTGCGATCAAACATTATGATGAGCTACGGTTCATCGGTCAGTTGGGATCGACACCTTCGTATTGCGATACGAGGCAGGGTGCTGCGGGGTCGTGTCAGAGCTATATGCGCTGACCCTCATGTATGGGCATGCGATTGGTCGTGTGGCACCAACAAAGTGTGCTTGTGTGATAAGTTGCATGATGATATAAATGAGATGAAGTGAATCCGTGACCATTGGATATATGCTAGTATCTTTACATGCTTGGTTACAACTGTTGAATGTGCCTATTCCATAGGATATATGCTAGTATCTTTACATGCTTGGTTATAACTGTTGGATGTGCTTGTCCCTATTTGTCGAGTCTATTCCGGTTTTGAAACTAGAGGTTTCCTAGGATATATCTTCCTGCTTCAAAATGACTTTTCTTATATATATATATATATATATATATATATATATATATATATATATATATATATATATATATATATATATACACTTATATGGTATTTCAACGCGTTAGAGTGGGTTACCAGCATTATTCGTTGAACAGATATATTTGGCTTTCAGGCACAAACGATTAGCTCCGGAGCGCGCTAGAGGACCCAAGGCTTAGATAAATAGTTTCATATTCAGCCTGCGTGTCATAATGATGTAATGATGATGTTTAAGGACAATTAGATAGTTTAGCCGGTGCATCTGAGTTCTCCAGCTCAGATGTGGCATAACACCCCGAATTCTTATGTTTAGTACTGCTCTGTTTGGGATTTAATAAGAATTTACCTTTATTATATAAGTTTTAAAAGTTTCGAAAATCTGGGGTGTTACAGTTGGTATCAGAGCCTAAGTTTGACCCTAGGATATGACTTTTAAGACCAGACTTTAGGACATTAGGCTTGAACTCTAGGTATTTAGGAACATAGGATTCAGGAATCTTAGGACGCGCGGTGAGATTGTGAACCTACATATCATCACATAACCGCCCCTCACTTTACCCCACATTAATTTAAAGAATTTCCCCCTTCGCTTATCACATCAAGGTAAGGGTACAACACATTGACTCTTCATTCCAGATACTGGCCCTAGGAATTTGTTATGTCCTTGCATGCTTTTACCTGCTTTGTTGCTTATCACTGTTTGATTATCATACTTGTTTATTTGCTTAAGCATATATGCTCCTAATTGATTTTAGACCATGTTAGGAACTGCATATTATTGCTTAACTATTTGATCAAACATGCGTTATTCGGATATCTGTTACTTGATAAAGTATTTTAGAACTTGCAATTAGTAATTTTGTTCAACTTATAAGGGCTCACTTGTCCTAATCATAATTGACCAATATAGTTAACTCACTAAATAGCCCGATAAGTACTTACATAGGGAAATTTTGGGGAATATAGCTTTGATTAAGAAGGGAAAGAATGGGGCGCGGGATCCTTATGATATTTAATTGAAGTCTCCCATATTCCTTATTAATAACGTGATCCCTGGAGTTTTTCTATGTATTCAAACCCCTTTCGTTGTTCACATAAGTATGGAATTCCTTGAACTTAAAATTGTGCATTCTCGGGGCTTTTCCCGAAGTGATTCCTCCTTCACAGTCACGTTCCAGTGGGGCCTTGGCAGGAGGTCGACCACCCACCACGTGCCCAGGCGGTCGACCGCCCACCTCGCGCCCACTGGTCCGGTATGTTTTCACGACTTCTTGTTTTTATTGATCCATTGTGCCTTTGTGTGTCTCCCTTGATACTTCCTATGTGTTTAACGTATAGATAACAATCTAATGCTTGAACATGAAAGTCGAATTACCTTCCTAATTAATTTGTTTATATGTTAAATAGAAATTATAGGGACCAATTCTATTTCTAGAAATCTAAAACCTCGGATACCTTTGCGTATTAAGTTTCGACCCGAAAGTCAATATGAGTGAGACCGGTAGAAACCTAAAACAAGTGGTCATCTAGAAATTATCCATGGAAAAATACATTTCGTCCCCAAACTATCTTAAAACTATCCCTCTAGACTTTGGTCCATGTTGCATAATAGACCACAAGCTTCTAATACCTTGTTTAGAACTCTTTTACCACTAAGATAAGGACCCCCTACACAAACATTTATACATAAATAGGTATACCACTACTATTCTAAATATATTCCCCTAAAACCTCTATTATATATATAATAGATATAATAGATAGAAGGAGATAGCCTAAATTGACGTAATTGCCCCTCTCTCATACGGTTATCTAACAGAAATATAGACGAACGACCAAAAATGTCCTCGCCACAATAACTCTGTCCATAAAATGGCAAAATTTTTTATAAAGGACTAAAATTGTCCAAGCCACTATAAGTCTAGGACCAAAAATGTCTTTTACTCAAATTATAATTATAATTCAAATTCAAATATGAAGTGGGCTTGGGCCAATTAATTAATTAATTCAATGGCCCAAAATTAAATTTAATTGGACTAATTAAATCAATTTAATTTCTATGATCCAATTAACTAAATTGGCCCAATAATTAATCTCAACGTCGGTCTAATAACAATTTTATCAGATCACTTGTCGGGTTCAAATTTTCCTGTGTCTACAGCTGCTACCAGTAACCTAATTGCACATGACACAGTACCAATAAATAATAAATAAATAAATAAGAAAAGAAAGAGGACATGTACTGAAGATGAAAACAATAACAATGCTACCCAAAAGAGAATTAAGAAGAATTAGAGAAATTTAAACAAAAAGTAGTATCTATTTAGACTATCGCTTTAAGACTAAATATTTAGACTATTGTTATTACGAAGTTGCAAACATTTATTTTAGTGAAAATTATAATCATATCAATCTAACGACATTTATATATTTAGTGACAATTATAAACATTTATTAATGACATTTATTTTACGGAGTTGCATTTATATACCTTAAATTACTGATTTAAATAAACAAATTTAACATATTTACCTATGCATGAACATCTCCTATATAATATTGCATTGATATATTTTGAAATACTTATTTAAAAATAATTATTGGGCATTATCCCATTCGCGCAAAGCGCGTAAAAAACTAGTATATATATATATATATATATATATATATATATATATATATATATATATCCTATGGAAATTGGTATCCGTAACATTTCCTTAGAGTATGGATATATATATATATACAACCATTCTTGAAGAGACATCTGAGGGGTCTAACAATGAAAAGAGTTTGAGACAAAAGTCTGAGAGATGAAAGGTTAACTTCATTTCTGTCATATATATTTTCATTTGTTATATGTAGTAAACATTTGAGATTAATATATCTTTGGATAGAATTCTTCGATTACAAAACTTAAAAGTAAATTCTTTGAAAAGCAACCTGAGAATTTGTACACCTTATATCTCATAATATAAGTTTTAATATGGTTATCTTTGTTGCTTAATGAGGGAGATTAAATACTTAGGAAAGTTATTATACGTCTGGAGATATCATATGATCTAGTTTTTATTCCCTCATTTCTGAATTTTTTGTTGTATTACAAAATTAATTTTCTAATGTGATTTACCAATAATGATTCATGATATTATGATTCTATCTTGCTAGGGTGATCTTGTATGGATAACGATAGTATAAATGTGAGACAGGAGACGACAAGTAATGTCAGGGTGGAAATTGAAAAGCCATGCAATGGAAGGAGATCAGAATGACTTTTTTATGCATGCATAGAGATGAAACTGTACAAGTCTTCCAAGTTGGGGATCGAAAGTCTCCTCTATTATTAAGATTAGGATAGGAGACAATGAATGCATTTAATAATCAATCAATTTAGAATTTAATTTTAGTCATTCAAATAATTTCCTTGCCTAAATAGTGGGAGATGATGATAATTATGCAGAAGTGTCAAATTGCTTCATTTGTCACTCATAAATGCTCAATTAATTTTTTTTAAAAAATAAGATCTAATTGGCCACATTTACTTTTATAATTGTGTTCGCTTAGCATTTTCTCTAGGTTTCCAACAAATAACCCTTCCATAATGCTGACATGAAATTTAAATAAAAATAATTTGATGACTTGTTTCATTGTTGAGTAATTCAAACCTAGAAAAATTCGCTACTCTCTCCCTCCTCATCCTCACCACCATCATCGCGATTGCCGATCTGAAAACTGAAAATTGTTTGTTACCTTCCACTTGTTACTTTTGTGGCCAAGTAATATAATCCCACAGTACAATATCTTTAGTATAGGGTTGCTGAAAGTTTAATTTCTATGGTTGTATGATATTTATATGCCTATTACAATGCCCTTTCATGCGTTGCTGTAGAGCTCACTGCATCCCTCCTGAAACTCTTCGCGCGCGTAATTCATGAACATGCTCTGAGGCAGAACTTATTTATGACCTTGCGATTCTAGTCACAATTTGGAATTTCATTTCTCTTATTTGTTTTAGCTGCCTCAGTTGGGCGTGACCAACTTTAAAATGTCCTATAATCTACGAGGTGTTTGAAACCAAATTTGCCAGGAAACTTCGAACTGGACAGCTAATGAGCGAATCTATTCAGTTCATTTTGGATGTGTAGAGTGTCGATAGTGCTATCACTCACCAACCTTTTACGAGCACACAAGAAAGAGACTAAATGGTAGTGCAAAGCCAAGAAAAGCTGCTGATTTTATTTTCAGATCGGCAACCACGAGGATGGTGGTGAGGATGAGGAGGGAGAGAGTCGCACTTTCTCTGAGTTTGAATAAGTCAATGAAACAAGTTATCAAATTATTTTTATTTAAATTTCATATCATCAGCATTTTGCGGATATGTGACATAAGTTAAAATTGTCTTTAATTTGTCCAAACATTTTCAAAGCTTACGGTTCTTTCTTGTCCTAATCCTATTTTAATAGAGTTCAACTATTATCTAAATCTTTTAATTAAGACGATACACATTATTCAATTGTATATACACGCATGAATACTTCACAATAAATTAATAATCCATTGTTGTATCATCATCTCCTTAATTACAGATCGAATAGCCTTCAACGGTGTTTCGTTATAAGGTAGTTGTTTTTGTTAAATGTGTTGTGTGGTGATGATATTAAAGTAAACTGATTATAATAACATAACAAATAACACTCAATTAAACATATTAATATTACATATTTCAATGTAAATAGATTTTTGAGGCCAAAAATATTTCTTGTGGTCTAAGACTTCATCAAGTTCCACATCAAACCTAGAGGCATAAGAATTGGTATGTATGCAATAAAATCATTTTTATAAATATTTTTTTGACGAGAGAAATTCATAATCACTATCTAAGAATACGCACTGAGTAAATCTGGTTTTGTATAAAATCACTTTTCTTTATATCATAAAAATAATGGTAGATACAAATTTTTGTCAACTTTTTCATTTACTTTTCTTTTTATAGTAAAAATGATGCGTGATAAAAACCCGTAAAGATGGAAATTTATGTTCACAGGTGAACAATATTAGATGAATAAGCCTACTGTATTGTATTGTTTTTGTAGATATATTTCTATATACAACCGTCATACTGTAGGTTAGTTAGGAAGTGGTTACAAGTAGTTAGCTGTTTGTAGTCTTTTCTCCCTCTTGTATATAAAGGTCAAGCTCCCAGGCTTCCTTTTGTAACAGAATCAATTCAGTTCTTCAATCAAACAGTTCTCTCATTTTCTTTCACTGTGTCTTTTTCGTGTTATGGTATCAGAGCGATAAAGAGACATGGCCTGGACAGGAGGAACCACAAGTTCGCTCAGACCTCCCGGATTTCAATCGGAGGCTACAGCCCAAGTGACAGCCCCGACGGCGATTCCGGCGACTAACACAGTCTTCGACCCAAATGATGCGGCAAGCCCCTATTTCTTGCATCTTAACGAGAACCCTGCATTAATCCTTGTTTCCACAACCCTAAATGGACGAAACTATCATCCTTGGGCCAGAGCAATGGAGAAGGCGCTCCTTTCTAAGAATAAATTAGGGTTCGTGGATGGGACTGTGGCAGTGCCGGACGTTGGTGATGTTAGGTTTCCCTACTGGAAAAGATGCAACAACATGGTTGCAACCTGGTTGATGCGTTCGTTGTCACCTGAAATTGCTCAAACTGTCCACTGGGTAGGATCAGCAGAAAAGATCTGGAAAACGTTGGAATCAAGATTCAGCGAGGCCGATATTTTCCGTGTCTCGGATTTACATGCTGAGATTCATCAAATTCGACAGGGAGTTCTCAGTGTAGGAGCGTATTTTGCCAAATTGAAGAGTCTATGGGATGAGCTGCTGGTTATAAGACTTCTCCCCACCTGCAATTGTGCGCGAAAGTGTTCTTGTGGACTGCTTGAAAAACTTCAACTCCATCTGGATAATGACAATCTATCCATGTTCTTAAGGGGACTGAGTGACAGTTATGCCTCAGTACAATCGCAGATCATGATGATGAAACGGCTACCCTCTGTTGATGGAGCATTCTTGATAGTCCAGCAACAGGAAAGGAGATTCAACAATGGAGGTAGTCTCTCTTCCCAAACTGCAGATAACTTGATTGCAGGGAACGTATTCTTTAGTCAGACTGGAGGGGGTAATTCAGGGGGCAAAAAACCCTACCCCAATGGAAACAAGAAACCACTGTGTACCTATTGTGGTTTCACTGGACACACAGTTGAAAAGTGCTACAAAAAGCACGGGTATCCTCCCGGATAGAAGCCAAGGAACAGGAATGCAGGAGCAGCAGTCAATCAGGTTCAAATAACTGATCAAGTCCCCTTGGAGGATACCATTTCACTTTCTCAAAGTGAATACATGATGTTCAAGCAACTATTGCAAAGGGAAAGCAGTACACACAATCAGAGTTCACCACTGGATATGGAAGCCAGACCTCAGGCAAATCTGATCTCTGCCAATTTCATTCCTAATGTGCAACTAGAAGGCAATCCCTCTTCATCATCTAGCATTAAGATACCTTGGATCTTGGACAGTGGTGCAACTCACCACATTGTTTGCAATCATCACGTGTTGACAAAAGTGAGAAAGGTTAATGACATGCATGTTGAACTTCCAAATGGAAGCAGAACTGCTATTACACATATAGGAACTGTTGTTGTGTCAGATGATTTAATCTTAAAGAATGTCTTCTGTGTGCCTAACTTCCACTTCAATTTAGTGTCTGTTAGTGAGCTGATCAAAGGCTCCAAGTGTAAACTGCTATTGCATTCTGACATATGCATCATATAGGATCATGTCCTTGGGAGGATGATTGGACAGGCGAGATTGGATAAGGGTCTATATCATTTGGTGCAACCTGATTTCTTTGTTCCTTTTGATTCATTACAACATGTCAAAGTGAATGTATGTAGTGTTGATAGTTTGTGGCATGCCAGATTAGGACATGTTTCCCATTCAAAGATTAAAATGTTGCAGGTGTACAAATCTGATTTGAAATCAAATAAAGAAGCAGTTTGTGATATATGCCACTTGGCTAAGCAGAAGAGATTGCCATTTCCAGTTAGTACTACTATTTCTATTGACTGTTTTGATCTTGTACATGTCGATATTTGGGGACCATATGGTGTGCATACCATCTATGGTCACCAATATTTTTTGACCATTGTGGATGACTTTAGCAGATTAACTTGGGTGTACTTGATGAGAGGTAAACATGAGGCTAGGAGTATAGTTCAGAACTTCTGTGCCTTGGTTCATACACAGTTTGGGAGAAATGTTAAGTGCATTCGATCAGACAATGGGCAAGATTTTAAGATGGATAAGTTCTATCAAGAAAAAGGGATCATTCACCAGACTTCATGCACATACACACCTCAGCAAAACAGTGTAGTTGAAAGGAAGCATGGTCATATATTGTGTGTTGCAAGAGCCCTGAGGTTTCAAGCCGATTTGCCTGAGTGTTTTTGGGGAGACTGCATTCTGCAAGCTGTGTATATAATCAATAGAGTACCCTCAAATGCTTTGCAAGGCAAAATCCCTTATCAGGTTCTTTTTGGGAATTCCCCTCAACTTAGCCACCTCAGAATTTTTGGTTGCTTAGCTTATGCTTCTAATCTCAATGCATATAAAACCAAATTTGCTCCAAGAGCCAGGAGGTGCATTTTTTTAGGGTACCCTACTGGTGTGAAAGGATACAAATTATATGATCTAACAACCAGGGAAGTCTTTGTGTCTAGGGATGTTGTGTTTTATGAGAAGAATTTTCCCTATTTGCCAAAGTGCAGTACAGACACTCAGATGGCTAAACCTTCCATCATTCTGCCTAATCCTACACACACAGCTGATGAACAATTATCAAAGTCCACTCCAAATTCTGATGCCACACTGTCTAGTTCCAGCAACATACCAGTAGTCATTTCCCAGGCTGATGATGTTCCTGTAAACAGTTCTGAAGATTTTCCATCAGTACACAATGAGGAAAATATCATTGAACCACAGCAGCAGGTCAGAAGATCCACTAGACAGGTATCTAAACCAGCATATCTTCAAGGATATGAATGTCACATTCCCAGCAAGAGGACTACCCCCCACACCTTATCTGCAGTTTTGTCATATGACAAACTCTCTCCCAAGTACAGAGTTTTTACCCTAAATGTATTGAATGAAGTTGAGCCTAAAACCTATAATGAGGCTATTCAACATTACTGTTGGAGAATGGCTATGCAGGCAGAGATAGATGCTCCCCAAATCAACAAGACTTGGGAACTCACAACCCTTCCTCCCTCCAAGTGTGTTATAAGGTGCAGGTGGGTTTATAAAGTGAAATACAAGGCAGATGGTACTGTTGAAAGATGCAAGGCTAGACTGGTAGCAAAAGGGTACACTCAAACTTGTGGATTGGATTATGTTGACACATTCAGTCCAGTAGCCAAGATCACATCCATAAGGACATTACTTGGTGTGGCAGCTGCAAAAAAGTGGCAATTACATCAACTAGATGTGAATAATGCTTTCCTCTATGGTGACCTCCATGAAGAAGTATATATGCAACTCCCACCAAGCTTCATAGCAGAACATCCAGGGCAGGTGTGTAAGCTAAAAAAGTCCCTTTATGGACTCAAACAAGCTAGTAGACAGTGGAACTCTAAGCTTACAAGCGAGTTGATTGCATTGGGGTTCAAGCAGGCTGTTTGTGACAACTCCCTATTCACAAAAGGATCTGGTGATAGTTTTATAGCCCTGTTAGTATATGTTGATGATGTTATTCTGACCAGTAGCAATACAAATCAGATTCAGCAAATAAAGGATCATCTCCACTCTGTGTTTCAGATTAAAGACCTTGGAAACTTGAGATTCTTCCTTGGTCTTGAAGTGGCTAGAACTAACAAGGGCATTGCCATTAACCAAAGAAAATATGCCCTGGATTTATTGACAGAAACTGGATTCTTTGGAAGCAAACCTATGAAGACTCCTATGACACACATATTAAAGCTGTCTCAAGAGGAAAGCATACCTCTACAGGACAACACAATGTTCAGAAGACTAGTTGGTAAGTTGTTATACTTAACCATTACAAGACCAGATATTTGTGTTGCTGTCCAGCAACTATCTCAGTTCCTAGATAAGCCTACCAACTTGCATTTACAAGCAACTCATAGGATTTTGAGATATATCAAGAACTGTCCAGCTCAAGGACTATTCTTCCCAGCAGAATCTAGCCTCAGGTTAAGGGGGTTTGCTGACTCAGATTAGGCATCCTGTTTTGACACTAGACGTTCCACAACAGGTTTTTGCATGTTCCTAGGTGAAGCATTAATCTCCTGGAAGTCCAAAAAACAGATTACAGTGTCTAGATCGTCTTCTGAAGCGGAGTACAGGGCCATAGCTCTTGCTGCCTGTGAAATCCAATGGTTAATTTTTCTGCTAGAAACAATGGGATTAAGGGTAGAAGAACCAGTCATATTATATTCTGATAGCAAGTCCGCGATAGCCATCGCGGAAAACCCGGTGTTCAACGAGCGAACGAAGCACATAGAGATCGACTGCCATCTCATAAGGGAAAAGATTCAAAAAGGCATTATCAGACTCCTACATGTATCCACTGACAACCAACTGGTTGATGTCCTAATCAAACCTCTGCAACCATTGCCCTTCAAGAAGTTCATCTCCAAGCTGGGACTTCATTCTATATACGTACCAGCTTGCGCGGGGGGGGGGGGGGTATTAGATAAATAAGCCTACTGTATTGTATTGTTTTTGTAGATATATTTCTATATACAACCGTCATTGTAACACCCCGAAATTTTAAAACTTTTGAAACTTAAATAATAAAGGTAAATTCTCATTAAATCCCAAAACATAATAGAGTACGGGATGCTATGCCACACCTGGGCTAGAGAACCCAGGTGCACAGGCTAACTAACTAATATCCTCGATAATGTAAATACATAAGCATGGCACGCAGGCCGAAAGGAAAACTATCTACTCTACGCTCCAAATCTCTAGCGCGCTCCAGTGTCTACTTCTCTGTGCCTGAAAGCCAAATATATCTGTTCAGCGAGAGATGCTGGTAACCCACTCCAACGCGTTGAAATACATTATAGATAGATATATATATATAGATATACGAAAACCATTTTGAAGTAGGAAGATATATACTTAGGAGACACTAGTTTTAAAACCAAGAATAGACTCGACAGATAAGGATAAGCACATTCAACAGTTATAATCAAGCATATAGAGATACTAGCATATATCCTATAGTCACAGATTCACTTCATCTCATTCATATCATCATCCCAATTCGTATCTCATCGCACACAAGCACACATTGGTGGCGCCACAGGACCAATCGCATGCCCATACATGAGGGTCAGCGCATATAGCTCTGACACGGCCCCGCAGCACCCTGCCTCGTATCGCAATACGAAGGGGTCGATCGCAACCGACCAATGAACCGCAGCTCATCATAATGTTTGATCGCAACCAAACAATGGACCGCAGCCCAAGAGTAGTCATCTGACCACAGCCAGGAATATGAACCGCAGCTCATGTAAAACGTTTGATCGCAACCAAACGGTGGACCGCAGCCCGAAAGTGATCATCTGACCGCTGCCAGGAATATGAACCGCAGCTCATGTAATATGTTTGATCGCAACCAAACGGTGGACCGCAGCCCGAGAGTGTAATTCTGACCGCAGCCAGGAATATGAACCACAGCTCATGTAATACGTTTGATCGCAACCAAACAGTGGACCGCAGCCCGAGAGTGTAATTCTGACCGCATCCAGCTTCTGAACCGCAGCTCAGGAATAACCAATTTGATCGCAACCAAATTGGGGTATCATGCACACATAACACGTAACAAGCACATGCAACTCATATTAGCACATTGGGGAAGGGGAGAAAATGTATAAGGAAACCTATGCGTGGTCATCCACAACTAGGAATAGTCCTAAGGGGTTCATACTTCTTTCACCTAGGCCAACGGGATACCAATTCCACTAGTATGCAACATATATACATATATAAGACTCGTTTATCCTACGAATGATACCTGAAACATCAAGCTAGACTTTAGGCACGATAAATGGGGTCCGTTGGGACACCACGAGGGTCGGGGAAACATCAAACGCGGAAGCCGGAGTCCCGAGTTGGGACAATTTCCAGCGGGTATCCGGTGGGTGGTGTACCACCCGCCGGCTGCCCGTCGGCGTCAGGTCTCCGGGCAGCGGGTGCCCGGCCAGCAGTCGCCTGCC